AGTAAAACAGTAAAAGTCTCAATTCCCCTTGCTTTTTAAGAAAGTGTCTGCATGTTTCCTGGTGCATATAGCTGAAGACAGAGTTGGCAAGCTGGGAATCAGATAATCAAGGCACACTCTATAAAACTATTCTGTGGTGGTGTTGGTGGTTGCATGAAGACCCAGTTAAATCTAGCTAGATTTATGGATTGTGGCAACTCTATGCAAGGCATTGTTTGGTGTGCCGAGCCAGGCAGATGCCATCTACTTAACCAGAAGGATCAGTTTTCTTTTTTGGCTCATAGTCAAATACTGAATACTTTCAGGAGTCTTTTGAGAGGATATGCCAGCACATTTCCATATTGTGATTTCTTCCCTTGTTTTATATGCACAGTTTCAAGCCTACATGTGTTCATGCTCGTTCTCACTCTGTCTTTCTCAGTAAATCTGGTTCATTTCCTGAGGGTTTAAAGTAAGTGTGAAATTCTGCTCAAGCGGGTGATTTATGTGGCATCGAGAGAAGAACTAACTACCTCATCCTCTCAAGTCACCTCGTTGCTCTTTTTACCAAATCTGAAGAAAATTCTTGTCCATCTTCCAAATGCAGCAATTCTCATACTGCTCTTGACCTCCAGAATGATTGCCTTACTATAGGCTGAATCAAGAGTCCTCACTATTTACTGTACAGCTCTGTGCTGTGTCAGGCTAGTAAGTAAGATTCACCGCAGAGCGGAAAATTCATTGAAATAATGTGATGTGCCAATCAAATTCACAGTAAATACCTTCTCACGTGCTACATCGGAATTACATGCAATTGTTTACACTTGAAGTAGCAGAATAGCCCTCTGGGGTAGGATTTAGTTGAAACAGCTGGAACATGTTTTTCCTCCTAGTTCCTAAGGCAGAGCAAGGACAGACAGCAGTGGACTGGGCTTAGGTGCACATTTGATCCTGTATTAAGGCAGTCTAGGCTAGAGAATGATACAAATCAAAAGAATTTAATAAAAATGCTTTAGGGGAGATGTGTAAGGATTTGAATTTTGATTCAAGGAGGTAATTTCAAAAGTGTGTAATTATCCTAAAGGAGAGGAGAGCTGGGGGACTGAAAGAGTACACAGCCACCTGGCAACTCAGATTGGAGGTATGCAGGTTAATTGGGACAGAAATATTACCAACATCATCACTTGGTCTGCTTTTACACCTTCTGCCCACTCTCCTAAGATATGTACCTTTTCATAATATAATTTAAATCGAATTTCTGCTTTTAAAATATGACAGTCTTGTTTTTAATTTTCGTATGACTCAAAATACAAGAGAAGGAACGAGGAACATGGGGGAAAGAATGAGAGAACTCTAGTAACTTTCATAAGAGTAGTTAGTTCTCAATTATACTATGCTTGTACAGTAACTGTCTAACTTCCATTTCAGATAGAAACATGAAATGAACTTTGGCGCCACCTAATGAAACAAAAAAGCCATGTTTTTCTATCTGATAACTCAGGAAAGGCAGGGTGATCAGTTTTAGGTAGATAGTACAGCAGCTCCAGTTCTAGGCATTCATGTTGTTATCTGCTAGGAAGTCATATGTGCTTAGGACATACCAAACAGGGGGAGGCCCTTCCAACTCTATACTCACCAAAAGTAATGACATTATTTCATTTTGCATCATGATATTGATAGAAGGAATAAAGTGCAGTAATCTCCTTAGGCCAGGTCTACGCTAGGCATGCAAGAGACTAGTCGACTCTCTGATTGACTATCTGATAAGCTTCTGCCTACCAGTGATATGACTAGTTGCTTCCTTCCCCCTCCCGCCCCTCTCCCCTGCTGTCTCTATCAGAGAGAGGCAGCAAGCGGAGGGAGCAGGAACCGGTGCTGGGGGAAGCCAGCTCAAAAGCTGGTTCCCCCCGGCACCGTCTCTGCGGGGGGCAGAAGAGGTAGACACTCAGTGGAAGCAGTGCGAGCGGGGACTGAAGCAGTCTCTGCTTGTGCTGCTTCTGCTGCGATTCTGCTTTGAAATGTACAAGAGCCCCATCAGGGCTCTTGTACATTTCAAAGGCTCAGGCGCTGGGGCCTACAGAGGAGTCCCTGCTGGCCCTGCATTCCCTGCTGGGCTTCTGCTTTTGAAATGTACAAGAGTCCCGCTGGCTACAGTTCAGAGGTGGAGGAGCCCTTCTAGACTAATCAACTATTTGATTAGTTAATTAATCTAAATTTAACATCCCTAGTCTACACTGGACCCATTAATCTAAATTTAACATCCTTAGTCTACACTGGACTGAAGGTTGGGTTAAGGTACTCAACTCTAGCAACGTAAAGTACATAGTTGGAGTCGGCTTACCCTAAACCGAGATTGGCGTTGTCTTCACAGAGGGAAGCCGATTGGGGCAAATGCTCCTGTTGGCTTCCCTTATTCCTTACAACTGTTAGAAGTACCAGTGCAACTGGAGCCACCCTTAGTGTTCAATTTAGTGGATCTTAACTAGACGCGCCAAATAAAACTCCAGAAGATCGATGTCTGGTGCGGCAAGTGAAGACATGGCCTTAGAAACAATTTCCATAGTCTTTATTTCTTGTCAAACTGTTGCTGTGATCTGATAAACAGTTGTTGGTATTCTATCCCAGAGATGGCAGCTGTTCCTTAGTGGAGAAAGAGGTTCTTATAAACTTGTAACACTCTTTAGAATAAGAGTTGCTATAAAAATAAGAGATTTTTAAAATATCATTAAACAAAATTGTTTACATTAAACTCTGAGAAGTCAGGAAATGCTGGAATTAAAGTTGACTACTCAGCCTTACCTAGATCCCCTTTTACAAATGCAGTATGATGGTATTTACTTGGCCGTCTTTTTTTGCCACTGCCCCATCTAACATGCAGGCTGGACAATGCTCAGGGAATGAGACAGCTTGTTCAATACTGATATCTGCATCGTGCTGTTAGTAGCTCTTGCCTTGTTTATTGCACTTCTTGCAAAGCCTGAAACTAATACTACATTTATTGTTTGCCTGCCAAACATTCATGAATGTATCTCCAGTAAAGTATTGGACAACATTATTTTCTCCATTTTACAAATGGGGAAACAGAGAGGAATGACCTGAAGCCACACAGTGACTCAGTACAGGCAGTCCCCGAGTTACGCAGATCCGACTTATGTCGGATCCGCAGTTACGAACGGGGCCATCTCCCTGGTCTCCAGCAGACCAGGGAGAGGAAGCAAAGCGGCGGAGCATGCGGGCAGCGCCACTTTGCTCTGCTTTGCTCCCCGTCTCCCTGGTCTGCAGGCCAGGGAGAAGGGGAGCAAAGCAGAGCAAAGCCGTGGAGCACGCGGGCAGTGGACAGCCCAGACGTGTCTGGGCTGTCCACTGCCCGTGTGCTCCGCCACTTTGCTTCCTCTCCCTGGTCTGCTGGAGACCAGGGATACGGGCCCCGTTCGTAAATGAGAGCAGAGCAGACACGTCTGGGCTGTCAGCTGGCCGCGTGTTCCGCCGCTTTGCTCTGCTCTGCTCTGCTCCCCCTCCCCCTGGTCTACAGACCAGGGGGACGGGGAGCAGAGCAGAGCAAAGCCGCGGAGCCCGAGGGCAGCAGGATAGCCACGGCGCGTCTGGGCTGTCCCGCTGCCCGCGTGTTCTGCCGCTTTGCTCCCAGTCCTCCTGGTCTGCAGATAACAATAATTTAGGAAGCCCCTCGTTAGCTTAATGGATGATGAGCTTCCTGGCATCAGCCCAAAGGTACAGATAAATATTAAGCATTCCAAAGACAGAAAATTAAAAAACAGCATGCACATGTTCAATCCACAATATTATTATGCAAATTATCACCTAGTGGCTCATCTTATCAAGAAAATTGTCCTGCACCATATAGTTTTCTTCCACCTTTAAAATTCTGGTCATTGTCTGGTTTTCAATTGTAAAGCAATTTGGTAAGCAACAGAAATATTCCTCGGAAACCTGTACTCTAAATGATAGACACCTAGGTCATTTTTCAGTCCAGTTTTCAAACTTGATTGCCTGAAGTAAGGCACCCAGTTCTAAATTTGAATGCTCAAATAGGCAGTTAGGCACTTGAATGCCCATTTTAAGCACGTAAGTGCCAATCTGAGTGCTCAAATGTAAAAATAGGCACCCTCAGCTAGGTGATCAAGTTTTAGAAATTGTGTTCTGTATCATTTTGTGCAATTACATTACAGTTCTGTCCAATCCCTTGCCAGAATTAGGGGTGTTAAAATATCATTTTCCCTGTGAAGCATCTGCTACTTCAGAGAACCCAATCAATGCATGGAATGTATTACTTAGACAAGCACTGGGGAGCATCTACTACTAAATTTCTACACTGCCCTGTCCCTCATTCTATGGCTGGCTTCCCCCAACTATTTGGAGAGGATCCATTTGCTGATTAGAGAGCCCTGCCAGCCCTACAGTCCCTATCTTGTACGTAACCCTGGGGCTGCCTTTAGTGGAGCCAGGATTAGAACTCACGCCAGCTTGATTTCCTATTCTCTGTTCCTCCTATAGACCACACTAGCTTACTGCCAGAGTTGCTGAGTTAGTCAACAGGAGTTATGGCTTTATTTGTAACTGTGTATTCAGTTGTTCTATATAGCAGTCCCCCAGGTGTCTCAAGTTGAACCCGCAGAAAATGAGGGGCATGCAACTGACTAGCAGACACATGCCAGACTTTTGGTTTAAATGACTTACTCAGTATCACATACACAGCCTATGGATAGAAGTCAGTTAGTTTGGCATTCACCTACCTTAATCACAAGACCATTTCTGTGTCCCTACAATCCCTGCCTTATTCACTTCACATCTTTTAACTTCTGCAACAAAAGAGGGGAGGGGAGGCTGAATCACAAAATCTGGGCTAACTGTTTGATCATGCTTTTAGTTTCTCTCTCACCAGCTCCAACATGATCCTGACTCTCGGGCTACCTGTTGCTCTCTTATGGGGGGGTTCAGGGAAGCATGGTTTTGTGCCATGCTCAGAAGGCAGAGGGGCTAAAATGTTATCTTGTGTTTTTCAGGTAAAAGGGCTGGTCCTCCAGGGCCGAATGGTCCTCAAGGCCCACCAGGACCTCCTGGACCCCAGGGTCCCCCAGGAATCCCAGGGATCCCTGGAATTCCAGGCACAACTGTAATGGGACCACCTGGCCCTCCTGGTCCTCCTGGCCCCCAGGGTCCACCTGGTCTGCAGGGCCCTTCAGGTAGGTGTTCATTTCATTCCTAATTGGACAGATGCTTTGCAGACCACAGTGAAGAGGGGAAATAGCATAGTGATGAGAGTGGCATGAAAACTAAATAGAACACCCAGCCCTGGTCTATAATATGGAGTTATTTTGAAATAACTCCCCTTATTTCAAAATAACAAGCAGAGCGTCCACACTACCAACCCCGTTATTTTGAAATAAGGTGCTGGTTATTTCAAAATAACTCCTGCGTTCCATGAAGAATAACACTTACTTTGAAATTGTGATTTTGAAATAGCGATAGTGTGGACACTTCACTGCTGATATTTTGAAATAACTATTCGCCAGAGTCATTCAGTTACTCCCCATGCTTCCTGGTGACCTAAGTCAAGGTAGCACATCCACATTAAGGGAGCCTGCCTCAGACTAATTTTGAGGTTTCCCTGTAGTGTCTACACTATTTCAAAATAGTTATTTTAGGAGTTATTATTTCAAACTAAGTTATTTTGAAATAATTTCCTACTGTAGACATGCCCCCAGAGATCAGTTCTAATCTCGGGCAGTGGGATTGCATTATTATCAGGGTTTAAGAAGGTTCATTTTCTAAGCTGCTCAGAGATTCTGTGTCAGATGCAAACACTAATACTCCCAACTAGAACTGGAGAGGGAGAAAAAGGAAATTAAAAACTCTCTGTTCTTACCAGATCAATTGGACAGATTGGAGATGGGCTACTACATCTGCTCCAGCTACCATAACTAGCGCTGCCCCACTAACTAGCACTGTGCAGTGCATAGGTCTTTCACACATCACATTTGATCCCTTCTCCAAAGAGCTTAGGCTATATCTACACTGGGAAGGTTTGGCGACAGAAATGCTGTCAACATGCAAAAGTCACCAAAAGCAAAAACCATTCAAACCTGTTTTTCTGCCGCCCATTGTTGACATTTCATGGCCATATTCACATCTCTACAGGAAACTAGGTGAATCTCTACATGTAGTTATACGTTACAAGTTACTCCTGTCTGTCTTTGAGAAGAAACATTGTCTAGTGATTGAAACATGGGACTGAAAAACTGCGTACAGTACTGTCATTCAATTCCCTGCATGGCAGGGGTGGGAAACCTCAGACCAGGGGCGCCAGATGCAACCCTGGCTTGCCTAAATCCAGACCCCGAAGCTCAGGGCTCCCCCCCCCCCAGCACTGGGGACACACTGGGTCTCCAGGCCCCTCGTTACCCAAAATCTATTAGTCTGGGTCCCCATAAGCTCTGGTGTGTGATGGGAATGTGGGGAGTGTCTCAGTCAGGTGTCACATCAGTATGATGGGAATGTGGGGAGTGTCTCAGTCAGGTGTCTCAGTCAGGTGTCACAGGGTTTTGTTTTGGTTTTATTTTTTGCTTCTCACTTGTGTACAGTCCCTGGTAAAGGTTCCCAACCCCTGCTATATGGTTTTTAGTCATTTCCTTTCTCTTTATCTCAGTTTTTCAATTTGTAAAATGGGTATAATATTTGTATACCTCACAGGGAGAGCAGAGGCTTCAATTTTGTCTGTAAAGCACTTTGCAGATTTTTAAACATTCTTTCTGAAGATGTGAAGACATTTGTCCCCATTAACCTCCCTGTGAGCCTGAATTCCATTGATACTGTAGTCTACAGTCAGCTTTAACCCCTATTGTGAGTTGTCAGATGGATTGGTTTGACACTGCCCTGTTTATAATCTTGGTCAACTGGCTAATCTGTCCTAATCCACATATCTGATGTTGTAAATCACTGGGAGGAACATGACTGGATCAGGAAAGCTGCTATGTGAGATAGTGTTGGGTTAGTCTCACAGTAATATTGTGAAAATATTTTTCCTGCATTTCCCATCTTCACTTCACTGTCCTTATATATTATAATAATTCAACTTTAGATGTAAGAGAACTGAAACTTCCTTCCTGAAGACAGACAGAATCTTTTCTCTAAAGGGGCTTTTAGAAAAAACTGGCTTTCAGTCTGTTTGCCAATAGTAGCCAAAATGCAGCTCGGAGGCAACTTGCAGTCTGTCTTTAGTTCTACAATGCAGTCCATAGCCATCCTTATCTTTATCAAAGAGATCTGTCTCACAAAGATAACAGGTCCCATTGTGTGGCCTGGCTGCTCAGAATGAGCTGGAGCATTGTACTGTGGAATCTATAAAAACTTAAAAAATAACTAATCGTCTTACAGTACCTTAGAGGCTAACACATGTAGATGGTATCATGAGCTTTCATGGGCATAACCCACTTCTTCAGATGAATGGAGTTGTTAAAGGTCCAGTTTCTAAATAAATAGGGGATAGGTGGGAGAAGGAAAAAGAAGGGGGGAAAAGGGAAAAAAAGGGGGGGAAAGAAATAGTCAATTAGTGTGTCCATGCTACATGAAGCTGATAGAGGAAATACTAGTTGTTCTTAAGTTTGGTTTTTTTATGTCATTAGGATGTGGAATGTAGCTGGTCATCCACAATGTCTTTATTCATACCTCTTTTATAGGAATCAAACTTGTAAATGAAGTTAAGTTCTAAGGCTTCTCTGTGGAGTTGGCTTGTGAAATTGGCCTGAAACAATACAGTGATTTTGAGATCCATTAATGAGTGCCCTGGCAAGTTGAAATGTTCCCCAAAAGGTTTCTGTGTGTTGCCTTTTCGAATATCTGATTTGTGCCCATTAATTCTCTCTCGCATAGACTGCGATTTGTGCCCATTAATTCTCTCTCGTAGAGACTGCCCAATTTGGCCAATATTCATGGCAGAGGGGCATTTCTGGCATTTGATGGCATAGATCACATTAATGAATGTTCAGTTAAATGAGCCTCTGATGTGATGGTTTATGTGGTTAGGTCCTGTGATGATATTGCTTGTATAGATGTGTGGACAGAGTGGCACTGGGGTTGATTGCACAGGTAGGTTCTGTGGAGGTGTGCTGTGTGGTTACTGGAAAGAATTTGTTTGAGGTTAGGGGGTTGTCTATAGGCGAGGATTGGCCTGTCCCCCATGGTCAGAGAGTGAGGGGTCATTTTCCATGATACATTGCAGATTGTTGATAATGCATTGGGGGGATGTAAGTTGTGGGCTGTAGGTGATGACAAGTGGTGTTCTATTGTTATCTTTTCTTGGCCTGTCTTGAAGTAATCCTGTAGGTGTTTGTCTCTGTCTATGGGACTGGAGCAAATCCGGTTGTATGATTGGCTATAACAATAGATTGAGAAATGTGTCTTGGATGGAAACTAGAGGCATGAAGGTAAGTGTAATGGTCAAAATGTTTCCGGTATAAGGTGGTGAAAATGTGTCCGTCATGTAATTATACTGTAGTGTCAGGGAAGTGGATCTCGCGTGGATTGGTCCAGGCTGAGGTTGATGGTTGAAATTTCTTATGTGCAACACCGATATTGAGGTAAAGTGTGGCTGTGCACCCACCAATACAAACAAAAACCATAGATATAAATATAAATTTTAAATAGTCCATAGGTGTGGAAGAAAATATATTGAAACAAGGAATATTTAGCAAGGAGCAATGCTTATTTAATTTTTTTATTTGATTTCATATTAACACTACCCTTGGCTGAAGAAGTGGGTTGTACACACGAAAGCTCATAATACTATTTATATAGTTTTGTTAAGTTTAAAATTCTACAAGATCATTGTTGTTTTTTTAGTTACACCCTAACATGACTATCCCTTTTAGACCTGGGAGTACGTGTATCCTCAGTCTTCCTAACAGACAGATGCATGTTTCAAAGATCTTGCAAATAAGGTTTAATCCTACAAAACAGCTATGTCTGACTCAAGAGCCAGAACTCCATCAGATAGCAAAGATCTAGCTTTAATGCAATACATTTTAACCATGTATTAATTCGTAACATAGGATTTTAAAAAAATAATTGAGAACAGAGTTTTAAATAATCGCAACAGTAAAAAAAATTCTGTTAAAAGAATCCTTTTTTCTTATCTTAAGCCATTCTCTCCCTCTCCCTCTCTCTTAATTCAACCAGAAAACCATTTCCCCCCTCTCCCCACCCATCTGCGGCCTCCGCACATGTAGACTGTGGCTGTCCTGTTTCCTACAGCCAGGAAGGGAAGCTTTCCAAGCATGGAAAGTAAGTTAAAAAGGGAATTGAAGGGAGAAAGTTATCA